GTTTTTGACTCAGGTCATAATTATGTGTTCAGCATGGTGCATTAAAAACTTGGCATGATGAGTTATAAAACTGTGAAAATATAATAGTCATATAACTGTTGTTATTGTACTATTGGTGATATACTTTATATGACAGTGGTTTTTTTTGAAATATATACTTGAACAGGAAAAGGCAAATCATAATGAAGAATTGAAGCAACTCCTTAAAGAAGTCCACACACTCAAGGTAAAAAACATTCTCACTTACAGATTATATTATAGGTTTCAAATGTATATCACTCACAGTTATAACTTCTGCTTACATAGGCCTTCCAGTGAGCCTGTACTACACATAAAACATGCAAAAGTATTTATTTTGAAGAGCAGTTTCTAAAGGCTTAGCAACCTATGTCAAGCAGCAACCAGGTACAAAGGTTGTAACTAGAAGAGATAATTGTTTGCTCTACTTCTTTATTTACTGTTCTATTTATTAGAAAAAATAACTTTAAGAACTTATTTCTAAAGAGCAATAATCTACATACATATATATTGTATAATAATTGAAATGTGACTGTATTTTACAAAATACTAGTCAACTAAAACACAGCCAAAACAAGTTAATTTGTACAAACAAAAGTTCAGTTTTATGTTATTTGATGCGGTAACATTAGTGCACATGAGCCACGTCATTGTAACTTCTGTATTGTTAGCCAGACACAGGTGAAAGGTCAATATATTAAAAATGATAAATATATATAAATGTATAATGTTATGAGATTTAAGTTATTTCATCTAAATATTTATGTTTTCGTGTTATAATTTATGTTCATTCTAGAATGAAAGAGGCATAATTTATGTTTAATTCCTAATTTTTATGGTGGTTGCGAGATCAGTTGAATCTATTGAACCCATACAGAGATTAATTACCAAAAATAACAGATAAAATATAAAGTTTTTTCTTAAGAAATATTTGATAACTATCCGGACATTATAAAGATTTCACATGTAAAATTTCAAAATTTTCTGATGAATAAAAGTATTTTTATTCTTAAAATGAAAATTACTTTGCATGATAGATAGGCAAGATGTGAAAAAAAAAGTCTTGCTATACTTTGTTCCAACAATAAAACTAGTGGATGAAATTATTTGAAACTTCATAAGAACTTTCATAAATGCACGTAGTTTAAGAAACATAAAGCCTGTTACTTTTCATAAATTTAGTTTTTTTTGCATTATCATCTTTAATATCTTGGAAAATTACGTTAGGAAATGATATTTATAAGAAATGATTACAATATTTATATTTGTTCCGGATTTGAACTTATTACTTTTTATGTTTCAGTATATTATTTAAAAATATGTAAAGACTTTCTATCATCTAAATTTTGTTATTTTTAGTTTTTTTAATAATCACGTACTCTCTTTATGGTTTCAAGTAATATACAAAACCTGAAAATAATATTTCTAAGCAAACCTAATCAATATTTGAATATTTATTTTATTTTTAACTAGGATTTCATGTTTATATATGTACATAAAAAACATTTTAATTTTGTTTCATAAATGTATATTTATTTCAAGTTTATGTTTCATTGTACTTTTGTTTATGGTGCTGAAAAATTCATGTTGTTAGCAGCTTGAACTTCATACATTTGCCATAAACTATAATGCCTGTTGGTGGTCACTCTCGTTCAGTCCAGTGCAGGCACATTTGAACA